TATTTATTTAACTTATATGCCGCCCACTTTATCCAAAGGTCTCTGGGCGGCTTACAACAATTAAAATACAATTAAAATACAACAAAAGATAAAACGATTAAAATACAATTAAAATACATACTCAAAAAATTGCCATCGGGACCCACAGTTGATGTTATTTCAATTAAAAGCCTTCTGGAACATGAATCTCAGTTGGGAGAGCATTCCATAGTCTGGGGGCAGGTGCCGAAAAGGCTCTTTGTCTACAAGCCGTCCCTCTTACCTCCTTAAGGGACGGCTCTTTCAAAAGGGCCCCCTGGCTAGATCTTAACTGCCAGGTAGGCTCATATGGAAGGAGCAGTCCTTCAGGTATCCAGGGCCCAAGCCTTAATCTAATCTATAAAGCATAGACTGCTCTTCTGAAATTCTTTGGTGAACTCCAGCAACCAGCAGATAGTCACAATATGATCTTTACTTGCATTGGAAATTAGAGCAAATGTCCTAAATGTACTATAATCCTTGGCATCTCCTTTATTAAGGACTGGAATGTATATTGAACATTAACTGTTGGCCACTGTTTTGTTTTCCATATTCGTTGTTGCATTCTTGTTTTAATTTTGACAGATGTTGGTCTCTATGGCTTGAAATAGTTCTACTGGTCTCCCATCTACCCTTGATGATTTATTTCTTCCCTGTGCTTTCAGAGCACCTTCAGCTTCACTCCTTCCTTCTTTGAAAGGCATTCAAACTGGTATACAATGTAAAGGCCAAAATCCTGTTGAAATTAATGTGTGCAATACTAGTTGTGCAAGTCTTTTGTACCCTCTAGTAATGTGTCAGTCTTGAAACTAGTCACTTACTCTTTGTGAAATCTGCTGAGTGATAGATACCTCACCAAAGAATGAAGAAGGCTTATGTAATTGCGTGCAGTTTTTTTATATAGGGTTCTGGTGAAATTAAAAAGGTAAAGGTTCCACTTGACAATTTTTCTAGTCGTGTCCGACTCTAGGTGGCGGTGCTCATCTCCGTTTCCAACCCATAGAGGTAGCATTTGTCCGCAGACAATCAATTCTCCATGGTCACGGGGCTAGTGCGACTAGACACAGAACGCCGTTTACCTTCCCACCGAGGTGGTACCTATTTATTCGCATTTTTGCATTTTGAATGCTTTCGAACTGCTAGGTTGGCGGGAGCTGGGACAAGCAACAGGGGCTCAATCCGTCACGTGGATTCGATCTTACGACTGCAGGTCTTCTGACCTTGCAGCACAGAGGCTTCAGTAGCTTAACCTGCAGCACCACCATGTCCCTGGTGAAATTACTTCGGGCTAAAAATAAAAAAGTCATGGAACAGAAGGTCCCACTCAGAATGATGGTAATCTTTTAAAGAACTGCTTGAGCTTCTCTTCTCTTCTGCCTTCTCTCAGACTGCATTGATGTAAAAGCTAGCAAGTGGCTGCCCCAATCGCCAGTAACTTTATTTGTGCCCATTTTTTGAGATAGGGCTTGGAGGTGTTTTGTTTCGTTCATATGCCATCTCCCTACAGGGACGCAAGGTAGTTCACAATCAGTTAAAACTACATAATCA